AAAAGCTGTTTCCGACTGCTCTATTTCGAGCGCCCCGTCTGTAAATATAGTCATCGTAGTTGCAAATGTTGTCTGTGCCAACTCCGAAGCCTCCATTTCCAACGTAGGTGCAAGTGTTGGATTGGTTGGCGGAGCAGTGGTGGATGGTTCTGCGGGTGCATATTGAGCAAGAGGGGGCAATTTGGCCACAATTGCTCGCACTACCTCGGGTTCCATGTCTGCCAAGTATTTGGCAGTGTTGGGCAGTTTGTCGAAAACCACTTCCAATGTGTTGCGATTCATGCTGGCGATGATTTTACCAAACGTAGGAACGTACGCAGCAACGTACTGAAGCGTCTGAGCATTCATGTTGTCAAGAAGACTGTGGAGGTTTTGGTGGTTCTCAATTATATACCGGACGAAGCGTGGTTCCTTGTTGAAGAGGACATTGGCGTACTGAGGAGGAATACTAGGCACAGTGGATATAATGAGTTGCGTAACCTCAGCATCTGTCATGTTTGCCAGATCAGGCATGTCAGTGGCACGTTGAGACGCCCTGGCAATAGTCTTTTTCGCCTCAGACGCCTTGCTAGGCTCATTGGGCACTGTGGCTGAACTGACAGCTAGATTGACACTGGACAAAATGGCATCAATATTGGGTACGTATGCGACCATCCATTGCAGCAGTCTTGCATCCATACTTGCCACAATATCTCTCACGTATGGAAGTCCTGCAATCGTTGACTGCAATGTATATGCGTCCGTACTGGAGGCGTAAGCACCGTAACCTGGTACTCGCATCAAAGCTGATTGAAGAAGCATCGCATCTACATGCATGAGAAGTTGATTCAAGTTAGGCATGTGGAGAAGCATGGATTGGAGTACATGTGGATCCATGGTGGACACGTAAGTGGAAGGGTATGGCATTTGAGGCTGTGGATACATTGCCTGACCATAGTTTGGCACACCATAGCCCACCCTGGGATTATAGCCATAGCCATAACCATACCCACCATCCATCGTGCGATAAGCAGGAACACCATAGCCTTGCATATCCTTCATGGTCTTTGCAGGCCCATGTCCCCATACCTCACGAACACTTTTCCAGTTAGAGCCATATTTACCGCTTTTGCCGGATGAAGCACTGCTCTTTCCTTTCGTCGACTGTGAAGATTTACTTGTCTTATTTACATAGAATACATCTTCATATTGTGAGCTCTTTTGTGAAGGAATTGTTGGTTGGTACACCTTACCATAATTGTCAACGGAATGGCAAACATCAATGAAGCAGACAACTCGGCAGTTGCCACCAGTGCTGCAACCATAGCCATGGAACGATCCATTGACGCATTTGACATGTTGACACTGCTGGAAGTCGTAGAAGTCACTGCACTTGCCATTCTTGCATCCACTCCAGTAGCCGCAGTTTCCACCATAGCAGCCTTGCTTGCCCAGTGCTCCACTACCCCACGTCTCCTGCATTCCCTTGTGTGGAAAGACTGCGTTGCCGAAACCGTGGCACGATGACTCGGAACACGTGTAGTCGCAGACGCCACCGCGACAACCGTAGCCAGTATTTGCACCAGAATGGCACACACGTGATTGACATGACGGGAATGTTGGCTGTGTTGGATAGCTGAAGCCGCCGACCATGATACAGCTCATCACAACGGCGAAGACACCCATCGAAACCATTGTAGCTATGCGATGTTTCGATTTTGATGTACGCTTTTATAGGCATTCAACGAGGGGTGTTCCATGTTCTCATGCACACCATTGGTTCGTTGGCCTAGTCACGCCTCACTCACCCCGACTTATCTGTCCGTCGGTCTCTACGACCTCACGTTTGCATGTTTTACCATTGTGACATGCGTTCGGAAGGCCGTATTTCTTCACGTGCTCTGATATCCGTGACTCGTTACACCTTTGTACATTTAGAATGTGTCGGAGCTGAGCCAGTGAGCTTCTTTAATCTGGTAGAATATTGGGATTATTAGCGCGTGTGCATTTGCA